CTCACCACTTTGGTAGATTTAACTCTCTTCTTTGGGCTAGACAATAGGAATTTTTGCGATATCATTTCAAATTCTATTGTATGAGTTCTTGTTTTTGAATCAAATGACCCCTCTTCATATTCTATTGCTATGAGAGACACTTATCTGTTACGTGAGAGGTAAATTTATTGTTATTACGCTGTCTGTTTCTAATAAAAGATGAGTTAATTTGCTATGGTTTTAATGTACTTCACTGTGATTAGTAAACCCTTGATCAAAGATATTGCGACGTGAATTTCTAACAGACAACACTAAAATAACAAATTTCTTCAGAACCTTTTCGAGATCCCTGTCATTTGTACTTTAACACTGCCAGGCAGTCTTGGACTCCCCTACTGCTTCCCTTTGAATAATATTAAAATAAAAGTGCGAAAATCTTATAAAGTTTTACGGTCATATTTCTTTACAATTATGGCCAGTCCTGATCTCGCGAGATATGCTGTCGCACATATTGAATATTAGGATTTATGCAACATCTAACTAGCTATATTCTAGAGTATATAATTGGTCAGCTTCAAAAAACTGCTTACGTTTTTATTCCGTGAATATTCAATCTTGGTGCATATTTGATATCCTGTACCAAATAAGGTCGTGTTTTCCATTTTTCAGATACCTGTACCTGAATTTTTTTTAAATTATTGCTTTTAGAAGTTTTTTTAATCTTGACACTAGTTGGGAAAAGCCACTCAATTTATCCGCTTCTCCCGTATTCTCAATTAATATGGGACATTCATATATGCATCCAATCACTCTGTTGGTTAATCCTACCAGTATCAAATAATTAAGGTCTTTGGGTTTCTTTTGCTTTACATGTTGCTTGGTTATTGTGTGAATAGGTTGTTTAGCACCTATTAAAACGTAATTGCAATCCGCCACTTAGTTAAGAATGATTTAAGGTTTGACTTGCCTCCTTATATTATATTCCGAAGAGCTAAAAATGCTTTTATATAAGGACGGTCAATTGCTTCTCTTATTATACCCTCGTTTATCTACTTTTCAATATATATTGTTATATCTCAATAAATAGCAGTTTTTTCTAATTCCTCGGGATAAGCTCCCCCCAGGTTTGGTTCCTGCAACAATTCTGTGCACTATTTCTTTAGATGGCTTGGGAAACCACACCTTCGATTATGTGGATTATGAGTTTGGAGATAATAGTACTGCGGGAAAAAAAAACCTGCTTGTTCATCCATTTTTGTATAAGAGAAATTTTTTTGCGTAGGGTTTTTGGTGGTTTATAATATGCAGAGATTGACTTATTTTTTTGGATTTGCCTCCTTTATTCGTCCCCTAAGCCAGTGTTCTATTATACTATAGGGGATGGAATTTGGGGTTTGTTTTTAATTTCTTGATTTTATTTAAAGTGTGTATGTCCCGGTTGGGGGAGGCGAGGGTGTGTGCCCACACAGTCCGGCTCTTTCTCCTGCCAAAACGCGAGTTATGGCTCCTTTTATATTTCACTCCTTTCCTTCTTTTGGATACCATTTTCGCTTATCTGGAAGCTTTTTTCCTATTTTTTATTAACATTTTAAATGGTTTTAGTTATCTTTTTTCCACCACAACTGTGACTAATCAATAAAAGGAATGAACACCGTAATTTTGGAGTCCCCTATGAAATAGGTCCAATAATTATCGTCTGGGGTTCAAGGCCCAACTGAAACCTCCTCAGAAACGGTATGTATTTTGCTATCCAGGTTTATATAATGCGGTCGATACCTAGGAGCAGCATTCTTGAGGTGTATAATATGGAGGGAGACTGTTATCATCCCCTGGTAGGGGATCTTTCTATACTACTCACCTTCCTACTGTCTTTATTCCTCTTTACCCTTTTTATACATGCAACCCACACTTCTCTCGCATCATAACATATTTATACTTAATATACATCATGACAAGTGGAGAAATTCTTAGATAACATTTTCTCAATACAGATCCAGGTTCTTCTCTAACTTCCACCTATGTATCTGCGCCGGATTCAACAATGAAAATCAACAATTTAAAGTATATATACCTATTATCATTGCCCTTTGGGTTAATCCCAAGTTTCTTTTCCACTTCATAGTACGCTTGCGCATCAATATACCTTTATGGGGAACCTATATAATAGAACTACCCCTTTATTTTATTAAATATTACCTTTACCACATACCCAAACTGTTTTCAGTTTTTCTCTTGAGAGATTCCCTTGACTACGTAGCATTTTTAGATTTGGCTTGGTTGTGATTGAGCCAAAGAGGGATAATGGGTTCCAAAAAAACCATAACACTTCCAAGTGGATGACTTTTTGTGTAACTCTAATGTAATAGCATAAAAAGAAGTAATTTCTCTTTTTTTGGGGTTGTGTGTCCGTTGTCAAGTTTGAGCCTAAAAAATCATGTTATTGTGAGAGGGGACCCTTTGCTTTGGGAAACCGGAGGTCCGGCCGCACAGCCAAAAAACTCCAAGTCGCCACAGACTACATCGAATGAATTGATATTTTTGGAAAGTTAACCGTTTTGTTTAACAGGACTTGGATTTAGGCCTTGGTTGTATGAGGCCCAAGACCCCCGTGTTCATTCCCTGAATCGTATTTGCTGATCCTGCGGGAGGTGGATCCTTTTAATATGTACCAAGGCAAGTCTTTTTATTATTGGAAAACACGCAACTTTTTCTAAAGGAACGGTCTAATCCCTTGTTAAAATGAAGAAAATAATTAATACTTTTGTCTTTAATGTTTGCTGATATATACAGTATGTAAATTCCAATTAATTTCCCCTCTGTTACATCCAGAACAGCAGTGGGAAACCAATGCTCTTCATTTGTTCCTCATCAACAAAGGAATCATTTCCAAAGCTGTATGAACATTATCTTAGCCTTTTAGCAAACCCACTCAAATGCTAAACTTTAAGTGTACATGGGGAAAGGGAACCTGGGAATATAAATACATATGGAGTTCTGGGAACAGGCCCCATAGAGACGATATGATCCACCACACTCTTGTGCTCGTCTTGGACTTATTTCAATTTAAGGTCTTATCAGGGCATATTCTCCTAAGTCTAAGACTATCTGAAACTGTATCCGGAAGTGGAAGACTAAGTGTGATAAATGCCATGGCTCTCCCTTGTCCACCTTAGCCACAATGTTTTTTCCCTTCTTCCCCCTGATATGAAAGGTTTCTGGACCCGGGTTTATTTTTACCTATTATGTCTTCTTGTTCTTGGGGTAAATTCCGGCAACCTTGCCCTCCCCTGATTGCTATTTTTGGGATTCCTGACCCCCCTCACCTTGCACTTAACCCCTCACCAAAAGGGACAATTATAGCTTCACATCTTACTAGCAAGACGTTCCTTATTGTTACCTTGGAAGTCCCTGCTAAATATCCTTCTATCTCCCCGTGGCTCAAAGACCATCATGTTTTTTTTTTTTAAACTTGAAAAATTAAATACACGATTGGGAGGATGTAGGCAGTCCCAATTTTTCCCCCCCAAATGGCAACCCTTTATTTTTTTTCTTTTCCACTATTTAGAGGTACTAACCCAATTGAATGTGTGCTTGTTATTGTTGTACCGTTTTATTTTATATTGCATACCAATAACCAGTAAATATGTGTGTTTTGGTCATGATGAGCTGAGTGGGGTGTGGGTGCGTGTTCATTGTTTATTACACGGTACTGTAATTTAATTTAATTATTTTCTTCTACATTCTTATCAGTGTTTTTTTTTTGTGTGGTTATTTTCGTTTTTATGTGTGTATATGTGACCGTGTACATATGCATATATGAAAAAGAAATTGGTATCCCTGTGATTGGAGGTATTGTTTTATATTTTTCCAATAAAAATATTTAAAAAAAAAAAAAGGAAAGCAGCCTTGGATAACCAATAATATTAAGAAAAGCAGAGTGGAGATGGATGAAATCAGTTCTCCAAGTACACTATGAGGCTATGAAGGAGTTAGTCCGCTACAGTAATATGGTGGAGAATGCAAGAACAAAATATTTCTCTGAATTTATCTCTGTCCATCAGTATAACCCTGTTGATCAAGACTGATTAAGACTGTTGATCTGTCAAATATAAAACAGATTTATAAACAGACTGGAATCAAATTTAGCCTCTAAATTATACACCCATTTGCATAATCTGAAGACCTGCAGCTACACGACAAACTCATTTATACTGATTAATCCTTCTGACAGCCCTATAGCAACTGTTGAAACACTTTTTATTATGTTTTCAGGCAATTGCTTACAGTGATGCCCAATATGATGAAATGTACTTTTATTCATTTTAATTGTTTAATTCAGGAACGTTTTGTAGCTTTCATGAATTCTACTTTTTGCACATCCACATCAATACTTCTATCTCCCCTGTCTTGATCTCTTTACAGAGCCAGACCTGGATGTACCCAGTACTCTGGACTCAGTTGCCCGCCAGGTCAATGAGACGATCCGCCGCCGTCGCCGAGATGCTGGTGAGGACGATTACAACATTGAAATCCTGCTGGGGGTTGATGACTCGGTGGTTCGATTTCACGGCAAGGAGCATGTGCAGAATTACCTCCTCACTCTCATGAATATTGTAAGTCTTGTTTTTGTTGTTACCAGTTTGAATTCTCCAGTTGCATTGTTGGACAAAATTCAATGGAGATGGGTGTTTTAGTAAGCACAGTAATGCCTAATGTGGTTTTATTAGGCATGTTAGACTGTAGTGATACTAATGTAAGAAGCTCACTTGAAAAAGTACTGTGGGAATGCAGATATAAATAGATATAAGTTCTCACATAAGTCCTCATGCAACACATTTACTGTATAGTCAGTGCTGAAATCAACCCTTTTTGTAGCAGCAGGCAATTAGCTCTGGTGAACACACTGTATGCTACCTGCCCTACACCAACCAGACAAAGTTAGTGAGTAGTTGGTGAAGGCACGGGAACATCTAGCAGCTGAAAAGTCAGATATTTTCTCAGGAACTGATAGAGATTGTAACAGAGCGTAGAGTGAATATTAGACTTAAAACTCCAAATGCTCATGTTCCCCTGTGTCTGTTCTACTACTAAGTGGCCAAAAGATCCATATTTATGAAAAGGTACTTTTCCAAAATTCTTTTTTAAGTCATATTGGATTAAAGTTTTCAACATAAAACAGCAATTAAACTTGTTTTATAACTGTTTTATAGCTCTTCTGTTTCCCCCCCATGGCTTTTGAGAGCTGAATCAGTATTAGTAAGCACTCTGCTCTGTTTCCCAGGGCCAGGAACAACACAGAAGAGGTCACAGTACCCTCTAATTTGCCATAACAATCACATACTGTTTGTAACTAGTCATGATCTGAATATATGAGCCGTCTCTCCCATGTGAGTCCTCTTCTGTGGTTCAGGTTCATTGACAGATCCAGGGTCATCACAGACAACACAGCTGGTGGGATGTATAATGCATCTATGCATAATTTGCACTTCTGTCCACACCGGCATGCCAATACTGCCCTCTCTGGATATGGTTACATCCATTAAAACATAAAGGAGTGTGTCATCTAATCCCAAGCAGGCAGTACCCCACCTATATCTGCTTTGGGTGTAGTTGCACCTCAGCATGGTCATGTAATCAAGATACTCTTCAATGGCATTTGACAATTGATGCAGACAGTAATTTGCTTTGGAAAGCAAATTGGAATTGCTGTGTTTAGTCATCACAGATGCCACAGAAAAGCCTCACTAGTAGTGGAAGAAATTGGCCATATGTGCTACCATTTGCTGGTTACACGGTGAGGCTTTCCTTTAATGAGACATTTTAATGCAGATGGGGAAGCAGGCAGAATGCTGTCGCCACATTGTTTTCATGCTCTCCATGGAGAGTGGCTTCACTGCAGAAGCTGCTGCGGCTGTTCCTCAGCAACAGGTCTTCTGATGATCAAAGCTTCCCCCTAGGGACATGGGATGGGTTGAAGATAATTGTGTGCCACACATACATCCAGTACATATGCACACAAATTTGGATAGTCATCGGATAATGTTGCTTTGTGCCTTTGCTGACATGTTGTGGGGGAGAAGAATTAGACTTGATACATGAAAGCAGTGAGCCAATGAAATCAAAGAAACGAAGCTAATCGTTGACAAGCAGGTTATGGTTTTGGATCAGATGACACTTCTGTGTGTCAGCAGGAGATGTATGAGTCAGCCATGAACTGGATGGTGCTGCCATAGATTTTATCAGGGTGATATCCAGTGTGTCACACTCATGTCACAGCTTCAGCCCGTTATCTATTGATTGCAGAATGGACCGGCTGTATTCCCGATTACTTGTCATGCATTTTCTATTGAAGGCATTGTCCCAAATTATTTTCGAAATCCTTTTCAGCCAGAACTGCAAAACATCATCCTTTGAAATGTGTCAAATGTGTACGTTCAGAAGCAGCGATGGCATAATTTTGTTTTTTCTGCTGTCCTTTACCTTTTGTCTGGATTGTGCTCTTGTTTTTTTCTGAGGATGTGGGAAAACACAGGACTGTTTTGCTTGCCCTCCCTGGCTTGTTTTTGTTGCTTTTTTTTTTTAAATTACAATCCCTGTTTTTATTGGGCATAATATCCCATTTTGGTGCTTATTGTGATTTTGAAATGAATGCAGTTTAGTTGAAAGCTGAAATGAATGAGACAAATTGAATGCTTTTGAATGAATCACAATACTGGATGCCGACTGGCTTCTGCCACTATTCAGATGAGGTACATCTGCTCAGTGGACGGAGACTTTCTGGTTCAAATGCTGTAAATTGGACTGACTGCCAGGATTTCAGCAATCAATGTCAATGGCAGCCAATCAGAGCTGTCTGGCTCTGGATTAGACAGCCTGTCTATGAAAATTAAAAGTACTCATGCAAATGATGAGTTATGAAACTCATCATGGTAAGTTAAAATTATAGGATAGTATTAAATATAAAATTTAATTCTTCTTCTCCAGATGTAAGAAAATATGTTTGTTTTGTACACATCTCAAACAAAAAACCCATTGTTTACTTAATAATTTTGACTTAACAAGTCAAAACATTGACTAACTATCTTTAATATTTAAAGATTTTTAATATTTAATATTATATGACCTAACAATGGCCGCCATATATGTGGCTAATTAAGTCAAGAAATTGACTTTGTATCTCACTTATAAAGTTGGAATTTGGGCATAGTTTTTATTTACATTTGGTTTGATAAAGCAACATTTTGATGCTTTACCTCTTTTTTTTTGATTCACCAATATTTGTAAATTATATAAAACATGTATATATACAGTTCTCGTTTAAGCATTTGCTAAGTCCTCTCTCTGCTCTTTTATTTTTTGGACAAATTTGTGAGTTAATATGTCAAAAAATGTGACTTTCTTTTGATTTTGACTTGGTAAGTCAAAGTTTTGATTGACTATCTCATCATTCTGACTTTGGCACAGACCGTAAATCACAACAGCTCTCTCTCTATCCCTATCTGTATTGTCCTCTGGTTCTCACACATTCCCACAGACACACTCTGCTCTCAGATCAATCTTTTCCTTTCCTTGTGCTCACCTCTTCCTTTTTCCTTTTTTCTCTTCTTTTCTTACCTGTCTTTTTCCCTTCTATCCTCCTTCTTTCTCTACTCTCCTCTTCTCTTGTCCCACCTCCTTTTGAACCACTAACATTGTAATCATCGGATGACCCGCTCCTGAGATATGCCGCCCTGCTTTATCTCCTCTCCTCTTCTCTCTTCCCCCCTTCTTTACTTCTGTTCTCCTTTCTTTCCTCCGCCTTCCCTTTTAACCATCCATTCTTGATTTACACCTGAGCAGATGTACCTCATCTTTTCTTTTTCTTCAGATCCAGACACATATAGACCAATTTTAAAACTTAATTCCTTTCTAAGATACTTGAAGAGGTGGTCTTCCAGCAACTTCAGTCCTTTTTAACTGAAAATTACATTTTTCAATCTGGTATCCGTGAAAAGCACAGCACTGAGTCTGCACTTATAAAAGTCACAAATGACTTGCTGCTGTCTGTAAATGCTGTAGATGATTTTAGATCTCATTGCCGCCTTCGATACTGTAAAGCGCTTCCAGCATTGGGTAGGGGTTTCAGGCACCACACTTATATGGTTTGCCTCCTTACTAGAGGGGAGCTAGTATTTAGTGTCACTGTCGCTGTGACAACATACAGTTGTACATACCTATGGGACCTATTTGACTGTCGATGTAAACAAACATTGGGTGACTAGTACGTTTTTAGGACCATAGGACCACTTTCTGTTAATCCTTTTTTCCTTCCTCCACAGTTTTCTCTCATCTTGTCTCATCTTCGCTTTTTACCTGTGCTTTCATTCTATTGTCTTTTCTTTCGTTTCGTCTTCTCTTCCTCTCTTCTTCCCTTCTAACCATCTCTTCTCCCTTCTTTCTTCTCATCTTGTGTTGTCTTCTTGCTGTCCATTTACCTCCCCCCCTTTTCCTCCTCTCCTTATCCCTTCTGTTCTTCTATTCTCCTTTCCTCTTCTTGCCTCCCCCTCTTCTCTTCTCCCCTTTTATCCTTTCCCCCTCTCTCTGCTCCTCTCCTTTTTTCACATCTTATTTTTCCTTTTTCTCCTTATCTCTTCCCCTGTCATTTTCTTTTTTCCTTTTCTTCTCATCTCCTCTCTTTTCCTTTTTCCTCCTATCCTGTAATTCTATCCTTTCATTCTTTCTCCTCCCCCCTGCTTTTTTGTTTTTTCTTCTCTTCTCCTATATTCCCTTCCCTCCTCTCCTCTTCTCTCATCATTTTCTTTATCTTTATACTCTATACTATCTTTCTCCCTTCTCTTTCCTCTCATCCCACCCAGTGGCATGCCTTTTTCTTCCTATCCATTCATCTCCTCTTTTCTCCTACTTTAAAATCCAGTTCTCTTTTCCCCTCTTTCCTTCGGTTTGATTTTTCCTGCTCATCAGAGCGTCCACTTCTCTATCCTTAGCATCCTCCAGAGAATTGTAACTGATTGGTTAATTTAATGCGATTGTATGTATGTATGTATTTATGTATGAATGTATGTATGTGTGTGAGTCTTTTTGCATCTTCATCAGTGACTCAATTGTCAACAATGTAATCAGTAACAATGTCGTTTTAACCCTTTCCTTTTCAAGGAAACTCAGGGACACACATGCCTACACATACAGCATTAACCTGTGCAGCTCCGGTTGTATGAGATAAAAATTTAAGTCTCTGCTTTTCTTGTCACATTGTTCATGTCATTAATGAGACCTCATTAGCGAGCGTAGCGCAGGCTTACTTATCACCATAGTCAGGGAGAGTCGGACAACTCTGCATTTTTGCGCAATTTGTCTTTGTATAATCTGTAAGCGCCCGTAGCAGGAACTGAGAATATGTCTGAATAATTTGGATTTTTTAACTTGCTTTTTTATTACATTGTTTCACTAGATATCTTTGCCAAACTATTCTGACCTATTTGGGTGTTACGGTGAAGGGGATTTGTGCCTCGAAGGTCTCGCAGCATTCCTATTTTTGGATCTTTTTTCACTGGAGTCTTGAGTAAAGATTGTGCCTGCTGTGGGTGGATCTGTTTCACTCTTTGGTGTACACATAAAAAGACACACATGGGAACGAAATTGCTTCCCCTGGTAACATCAGCTTTCCCTCTGAGGCTGTCAGAGATCAATAACAGCTTCATGTGTGCTTCACATTTCTCATGAAAGTGTCGTCAGGAACCTATTACACATCGACTCATTTGGCATAAAGGGCTCCAATGAAAACTTACAGTATGGCCTCTGCAATCTGCTGTCTTCAGAAATCACACCTCTAACATGATCAGTTCAGAGTTCAGATCATCATCAGAACATGGCAGTTAAGAGTTTGAAGCTTTTTTCAAGGTGATAATCTACATTTCTGCTTTCAGAATCAGAAGAAGAATATATGTGTGAACATATCTGAGTTTGATTGTGTGAGATTAAACCAAACCAAACTCCTCTGGAACCACAGCTGTTAAATAAATGAAAGAAATACATAAATATAGGTAGAAACCACCCATGAAATGAAAAAAATCATCTGGAGCAGAGGCTCCACATCACTTCACTAATGAGTCCTCTTACAGTAATGGGACATTAAAGACAGTAAAGTAATGTATGACTTTTATTGACCTCTGTTGGTGACATTTAGGTACTGCAACAACATTTCCATTTAAATATTCTTATATGCCAGGCATACCTGTGCAAATTAATTTACCCCTAATTCTATGTGTTCATCTTTTAAGTTCGCATTTTGTATTGGACTGCAATGTACTGTTTTTATGACTTGTTCAGTATATTGGAGTCCAGTACAACACCATATCTCACTACAGGCTCAAATATTACTGTTAAATCAACACCTCTTCTATGACACAGTGTCACCATAAACATTACAAGCATCACAAAGGTTGGATTTATTGCACAGCTGTTCTGTTGGATTGCATTTATCATGTTGAAAATGCGGGAGTAAGTGTTGCATGCTTGCTATATACCTGGGGATTTTCTCCCATTCAGACACAAGAGCATTACTAAGGTCCAACACGGACATTGGGTGATAAGGTCTGGCTCACAGTCTGTGTTGCAGTTCATCCCAAAGGTGTTGGATGTGGTTAAGTTCACGGCTCTGTTGGTATTTTCAGTGTTCAACTATCCTGTGTTTCTATCTGTTTCCCTTTTGTAACTCTGGGAATTGGAAGTCTATACTGATGCATGTTTTGGGAAGCATCGGTATGGATGGCCTTCAATATGACTGACACACACGCAGACTATCTCTGTTTCTCTGTCTGCGACTGCTCGTATGTGACTCCTGTGCATCCCATGAACAGAAAAGACAGCGGGAGACAAACCTTGATGCTTCCAATAACACAACAAAAGAAAGAAAGTTTCGAGATGGACATCACTACAGAGGACACAGTCAAGTTAGTGGTTTTGATCCGTGAACAGATCAATCATGTGCGTTTCTCTGAAGAGTTGTATTGTTGCCATTTTGAGCTATTGAGAATTTTTGTGAGCTGGATAAATAAAATGTGTGGCTGAACACATACAGTGACAGGAAAGTGAGTCCTACTGTGAATGTTTGGAAGAAGCTGTTAAGACTTTGCTGTGATATCTAGTGCATTAAGACGCAACCTTTGAAAGCAAGCAGATTAGTGTGTGGGAGAAAAATAAGATATGGTGTAATTTTTGCTGTTTTGCCCTAAGGAGAGGCTTACAGTGCAGTACAGTGCTCTGCCACCAGATGCGAGTTCAGGATCAGCAGTGTTTATCGATCTTCTAAATAAAGCACCTATCTGCAGCGCAGGTCACATTCAAGCCAGATTGCGGCCTCACATTCCAAAACATTGAATGATGGAATCTGCTGGACCTTGAGTTTGTTGTCCTGCTCCTCCGGCAGCACAGCACCCCGAAAAGTTGATAAGGCAAAAAAAAAATCCTCTGAGGACAGTTTAGCATGTGATTATATGCTGTTGGAATATATTTTTTCACTTCCTCTACCCTGTGTGGAGAACACTGACATATTGTGCATTGAGGCGGATAAACTCAGTGAGAAATCACTGGCCCAAAGAAAATGAGACCCACTGTGATGCTGCCTGTCGCTTCAGTACAAATGCTCCCAGCTACTAATGAGGTCTTCTCATATTCAGTGTCACAAAGCTGGACAAGATGTTGATTTGTTCACTGATTCGATTGGGACTTACAGTACAATCAATCTGTTAGTGGCAAAACAATAGTGCTAAAGACGGGGTGATGGGCGACCACACATATCACACTGAGCTTTTTGAAGGTCAGCAGCTGTCAAAGGCATGTTGTCCTAGTTTCCAGTTGTCATGTGATACAAGCATGACATCTGACATGCACATGCATAATATTATATTAAAAGAAAGTAACGCTTACATTGTCCAATTGTAAAAATGTGTAGCCGTTACACACTAAATAAAAAAAAAGTTTAACATTTAAACATCACCTCAAAAGGGTATTATACATTACCTGCCACCTTTTCCTCTATATTTTGCCACAACTCAATAGTGGTGGCTACTAGTCTACTAGTCTTGAGTCTCCGTAACAAGGCCATATATGGATTCTAAATCTATAAAAAGAAATGTCTCGGAAGAAAATAAATAATTTAATAGTGTGTGGGCAGATATGTTTGCTTTCACCAACGATGCTAGCTTACCACCATGCTTGGGAAATTAGCATTATAAGGCTCAAACATGTTTTGCAGCTCCAGAGAGCTGGGGACAGCCAGCCAGACATTTTAAACATTTTAAAAACTAAACATTTTTTACTTCCATATAATTTTTTGTCAAAGCCACAGACAGCCACTGGAGGGCTGAAGAGCTGCAAGTTGTTATTTTTTGGGCTTTTGAAATGGAAAATTATTAAAATGTATTAATAGAAAAAGGGGATGAAACAGATAGATCCTAATAATAATGACAACACCATACATAGATAGACAAATAAATAAGTAAATAAAAATCAATTAAAAGCCAGACTAAAAAGATAAGTCTTGAGTTTGCTTTTAGTGTCCACTGTGAGTCCAACCTCAGGAGGGCTGTTCCAGAGATGAGGACCATAGTAATAAAAAGGTGCCTCACCATGGGTCTTTGTTCTGGCTTTGGGGGGTTATTAAAAGTACCTGAAGACCTGGGGGTTCTAGTGGGCTCATAATTTAAAAGCAAATCTCATAAATAAGAAGGACCAAGACCATTAGGAGCCTTATAAACCAATTAAAAGATCTTAAAATCAAGAGTAAGAATATAATATAATATAATATAACATAACATAATAAAGCATACCATTATTACTGTTTTTTTATTGATTTCTCTGTTATTATAATACGTTTAGATTTTTTCTGGCATAACATACCAAGGTTAAGTGTCTTAAAGATTGTGTAAAGAAGAAAGAAAGAAAATGAAGAGACAGGCTCATGTACATCTTCAGGTAGATAAGTGGACATGGATATAGAATAATTTAACAGCAAATCCATCAGTGTATTTAAAATGTCCCAGATACCAGCAGATACAGTGAGCAAGGCTGATCCCTAAAAGGGAAATTTGATCTTTCTGGCTGATTAAAAACACACAACAGGTCCGTGGAAGATAATAGCATTGAGAAAACGAGGTGTCAAACAGTGTGAGGACTGCTAGAAATGGGCTCACAGGTGGAGAGTGTGTGCTTGAAAAAAGCTCACAGATTTAAGCTGATTGAACTGGCTGGTCTGGCTCTCTTTATATTACTTTAGAGGCTGCAGGGAACAGTCTGAATTCTAAACATGCTTCTTTCATGGTATTTCTGTCCACTCACACATAAGAACATTTTAACCATCCCCATAAACACATCTTCCCTTGTTGTACCCCGTCAAGTCAAGTCAATTGTATTTATATATTTATATAGTCACAATTTTTTTTGCCTGTGGGTAAAAGAGTATAAACACCCTTTATTCTGATACCCCCGATTTGAATTAGGAAAAACTCTCCTCCAAAAACCTCTTTGACAGTGAAAAAATAGAAGAAACCTCATGAAGAGCAACAGAGGAGGACAGACAGACACGCAATAGTTGTCGTGTGAACAGAACAGACCAACATAGTCAAACAACAGTATGGACAATCATGATGTCCTAACCCTAACCGAACACCCAGACATAGATATTCATGCACACCCAAACCTATCCTTCTGCGATTGCATAAATCATAGATCAGGGGTGCCTAAACTTTTTCTCTTAGAAGGCCAAAACTCAAACTTAATCGTGAGCCATAGGCCAAAAGCAAACTATTTTATTGTGAAGTATCCCCAGATCCTCTGATGTGTGTCACTCTGCTCAGATTATAATAATTGATTATGGATCTTATATATTTTACCTCACAAAATTAAAAACAGCATGAATAGTTATTTATGTTATAATGGGTTTTTTGGGGGCTAGAAACATCTGGTGGGCCAAAAGCAAACCTTACAGTGGGCCAGCTTTGGCCGCCAGACCTGACTTTGGGCAGCCCTGATTAAGATGGTAATTTAGACTTCTTTTAAAATGTTTCTGGTATGGCAACCAGGTCCTGCGAGGAACAAGAACATGATGATAGCGCAGTCCCCCTCACTGTATTCACTGGCTCTCTCATAAAGCCACAAAATAGTGGTTGCACAGGTTTTTGATTATAGTCATTCATGGAGTGATTTGTGAAGAGCGGTTTGTTTCTCTCACTCTCTCCCTCCGATGAGTGGAAAGTAGAAGCCCAGAATTATCATGATAGAGGGTGTGATGTGTCAATGACGCAGATGCTGTACAAGAAAATGCTATTTCTGTCAGCTATTGATAGTCCCTTGATTGACAATGTCTTTCCCCTTGTTTCTCAGGTCAATGAGATTTACCATGACGAGTCACTGGGAGTCCACATCAACGTGGTCCTGGTGAGGATGATCATGCTGGGATATGCAAAGGTGAGTTTCACAGTAGTTTTTCTGTTGATTTGCCTGTTGTTTGTGAAATGCAGAAAAATGACAGAAAATGATAGATAAGATAGAAACTCAGTCAAGAAAGAATTTGCCCCCCAGAGAAAGATGATGGGTGTGTGGGAGAAGATAATACCGTAACGGAGAGACAGAAATGTGATTCACACTCTGAGTTTGATTACATCGCAAAGAAACCGGAGTTATAATCAACAGTTGCTGTCATTTCATATATGTTGACATTAAATGTTTTTTCTGCTTTGCATTCTTGAGCCTAGACAGCAACTACATCAACTGGACTCTATCAACACAAATCACCCTAAACAATGGCCCAGAAGCAGTGGCAAAGCGATGGCATGAATAAAACATTTATGTGTAACATGTTGGAGGTGGTGCCGCAGTGGGATGGCACAAATGCTCCCACCCCCCCTCCTCACACTGAAAGTCTGTTGGGTTTGCTGTGGGGAAACAAAGGCTTTGACCTGGAGGTGAAGCATCAACCCATCATCATTGGCTAAAAGAGCAAACAGAGAGAAAAAAAGAGTTACAAACATTTCTGCCTCAGTGGGATAAAAGTCCAAAATGTCATGTTCAAAATGAGTACAGGACCCAAACAGAACAAACTCTTCTACTATTTTCAATAGTTAAACTAATTTTTAATCTATTTCAAATGTTGTCACACTCTAATAGTCTTATGCCTGCCATTAATTATACCACTGTCCTTCATGTGCACAATCACAATAATATCAGTTACAAACACACAGCATTCAGTCCAAACATTTCATGATTCTGTTAGCACTAATGCTTTTCATCATTTTCATCCTGTTATTTCACTGAGAAATATGTGTATAATTGCTTGAGAAAAGTGGTTATTTCAACCTCATGGAGCATGTTAGTGACACATCCATAGTCATTAATAATGTAGCAGAGATGCTAAATAGGGAAGAAAATGTATGCAGATTGCAGGGGTCAGCCACTCTCGCTTTCTTTCACACATACTGTAAAAATACATGCATGCATGCTCACACAAAGTGGAAATAGCAAAGTAATCAGGGAGGAACGTTTGCCTGGTCTTTATTTTTTTATAGATTGTAGAGAATTCAGTTTGCTATGCACACCATGTGTCAGATTAACGGTTAATGCAATTTTGGGTTGCTGACAGAATACTAACGTGTTCATTTACACAGTCAAGGTTCAGTTGTAATCATTTTTTTCTCTCTCTTGCTTTCTTGTTAGTCCATCAGCCTCATTGAAAGAGGAAACCCATCACGGAGCCTGGAGAACGTGTGCCGCTGGGCATTTGTGCAACAGAAAGGTGACCCTGATCACGCTGAACACCACGACCACGCAATTTTCCTCACTCGCCAAGGCTTTGGCCCCACGGGGATGCAGGGTAAGACCCAGGAGAACACAACGTTTCAAATGAGAATGTGACGTTGCCTACAGCATTTTGACCTGCCTCAAGTGATTGATCCAAATACAGCACCAGGAGATTATCCATCATAATGCACAGCAGTAAAAGATCCTGTGGTCCAAGACTTGCAGCTTGTTAATCAAGATTGATTATTTGGTTTGGTCTGGACTTAATGCTCTTGCTGGGCTCAGACTGCCCTCAATCAATCCTAACATATTACACATCTTGTCTAAATGCTAAAACTATTATGTGAATTTCACATTGCATGTTTAACAAGCTGTGTTCAAGAAAGTTTCAAAGAAAGACATGGCTTTCATTTGTGAACTGTGCCCAGATTCTCTATAATTGCATTTTAAATGCAACTATAACAATTCTTGCGCCCAGGTTGCTGCTTACTGAACAATCAAAAAAGCTCTTTATCACCAATATCAAGCCTAAATAGCACAGCCGATCATGCAAGCACCCCAAAGCCCTTTTGTGCTTCATATCTCGCACCTTTCCTTAATTTCTGTTCTTATGAATGCAGACCTGGAAAGGCTGGAGGCTCATGTCAATTTACACTGTCTGCCTGATATTGACTGCTCACCCCATCTCTTATTTTCTCCACAGCTGCCAAACTGAAACAATAAGAGCGACTAAGTATCCAAAGTCGGCACTATGAAGGCCCATTTAACTGGCTTTATGCTTCTTTATTTGCCTCTTTGAACAGCGGCTGCATATATTTTTCATCTGGAAGTGCACATTGTGTGCTTTGGCTAATCCATTATTCCTTTCTTCATGTGGAGACAAAAGGGAATAAGGTGCAGTATATAGGCATGTACCTGACATGTTTTACATTACCTGACAAGACCAAAACACTTGCAAACTTCACATTTTGTCAGTGATTGGGGTGCATTTATATCATTCATTCACAGGAGTTGGACTGCTTTGTTTAACCCAGTAACAGCTTTGCCAGTAATCGTAGGATTGAAATATCTGTTTCTCAGGTCTGCAGTGCTCTTTGTTCAGAATGACAACATATTTTGAGCCATTTACAGCAAAACAACCCTAGAAAACTTGGCTAAAACACAAAATATCATTGGCAGAAGACAGAGTTGTATCTGAAACAAGCAACTAGAGGTAAGTTACTGCAGACAGTGTTGATGAGTTTGTTGTGATTAGCTGAAGTTACATGAATTGGAATACAATTTGTTTTGATCAAAGAAACAAAAGCAGCTAGTTTTGTAGCGGGAAAGCAGTGCAATCTGGTGATAATGGAGTCTCCTGTTTATTGGTTACTGTTGTGTAGGGTGTGGGTGTGTAATCGATATTCCACTGAGAGACAAATCTTTTCTGCTTCATCCAAAGTCAACTTCAGCAGTATCATGTTGGCATAAGAAGAGAGTTCAGAGGATCACGAAAGTCAGTTTGATTCATCCTTTGGGGACCATGAATGTCAGCCCAGAATTTCATTGTAATCCATCTTATATCTGTCAAGACATTTCAGTCTGGGCGAAAACCACTGACTGACTGAGACCACTGCAGTCAAAATAGCGGAGTCCCTTGTTAGATAACAGGTTATTAAAACCTAGTCCAATAAACAAGCTACCTGTGAGTTAATGACACTTAATTTACACAGTGGGGGTGAATTGTTTATTTCAAAAATATAAGAAATGCAGCAAATACAATTATTCCATTGTGTTTCGGACCAAGGAAAATTAGCTGTACATTCATGTGGTTAGATGCTTTCAGCTTGTTCAGGCATAAAATGTGATGCAGCTGAGGCTAAAATGACCAGTGACCTGTTATACAGCATCACGCTCTATCAGAAATATGAAACACTGTAGCACTTTCATCCAGGACTAAAGTGGACCTGGTAGGTGAATCTCATGTTTATTTTGAAAACTGATTGTCCTCCAGTGCCACTAATGTATAGCAGACTTTCAGACATGGTTGTCATGGGAATAAAAGTCAAGGTACATGGATAGACCAGAGGCTCCTGCCCATCTGGCAACATAGATAGCATGAACCAATCTCTGTATGATCATGCAGGCTCAGACTCAGAGGGTATTTTCTGGTGTGTGGATTTTGTCACTAAACAGGTACTGCTGGAGAAAATTGTTGTTAGCCTGTGGCTATACCAGCTAATAACAGGTCAAAACATAAGTGCCAATTGCTGACACCTAAGAAAGGATGCGACATGAGCTGAACCCTGGTCAGTTTGACTCGTCTTCCGCAGTGTCGCCTTCCTGGACTGGGTGGTGGGAGTCCGACCTGGCTTGCTTTTGCATTGCCAAAATACACTGAAAGCTCAGTGCTGGTTTCAGTTCATTTAAGTAAGCACAGACAGAAATTAAACCAAAATACATCAGGGATGATGGTAATTATTCAGGCACGTCAACTTTCTTGTGTTGGCTTCCTTCCTTCTCTCTCTTCTGACAGGCTCATATTACATAAGACCCCCCTTCTTAACAATCGGCAAACGATCAATAGAACAATTGACCACAAAGTGACCATGACATTCTGCAGAGCAGGAACTGCCACTCACAGATCAGTTTTTTATGTTGTTGTGATTTGATCTGCAGGTTTACATGTGTTTGAAAACTTTACACTAACACACACAGACAGATTATGTCATGTAGAGGCATGGAGGCAAGCAGTTTTCATGGACATGACTTTTGTTATTTGACCTTGTAGACATGGAATGGCTCTTTATTAGGATTTGGTGACGGAGTAAGTTTGTAACACTGATACCATTTATACATCTATACCAATGTAGGTACGCTTTAATATCTGGCTGTGGGCCATGCTGGGAATTAGTAAGCAGGACATCTTTATGGCAATATTTGACCAGATTTTTTGATGAAGTACCTTTCACTGGAACATCAAAAAAACCATTCATATATGATATTTACTATGATATAAAATGCAATATACTGTTATAAAAGATTTTTATAGTAGTTGGTTGATAGGTTGTTGAGGTCACACCCAAGCTGAGGGCTTTGGCTTAATCCCATTAGCAACACACTGAACCGTTTCAGGGCCACAAGCATACAGTGTGGTGTAATGTGGTGTTATACCTTTTCATCTTCACTTCACTATCACTTCGCCTATGCAAAGGACTGCGTGAAGAAAAGTACTAAAAGGATCCGTGAGTTATTTTCTCTACCCCACTAGGCCTGGCACAGATAGAAAAAGGTCAGTGTCTGTTCGTATTTTCATGAACAGCAAGCGATGCATCTAGTTCACACTGTGCACAGGGGAATTGAAGCAGCAGTGACAAATCAGCTGGGGTCTTCTGCACCTTATAAAAGCCAAGACACACTGTATTTTAGTGGTCTGTTCCCTGTGGGGATGCTTTGTAATTGAACTGAGTTCAAAGCTGTATCAAAACAGTTTGCTATTCACCCAATGTCTTCGTGCCTGCAGACATTCACAGTACACCTGCGATTTCTGTCGGTGCTTCACTTTTCTTAAACCAGAACAGCAAGCAAGCGTTATTTAGTCAGAAAGATTCACAGTGTCATTGTAGTTTTAGCATTGGAGTGAAGTCCTTACCTTGCTTGCTTGCTTGCTTGCTTGCTGTAATTTAGAATTAGGTAATGTTGGCTGTGAATTTAAAAGGTTCCCAACTGCAATGCCTTTTGGGGCTTTGTTTATCCACAGGGGAAATGTGAAATAAACCTCAAATTAACTAAGATGCTAATCAACCTAGAATTTAAACAAAGATAGAGATTTTGTGAAAAGCAATGTTTAATGCTATCTTTTATGGAGGCCCATGGTGTGTAAATTATTAATGGAATAATCATATTAATATCTTTAAGGAATGTGCAGTAAAGACAATAAAAAACAAAACCAGAATAACCAAGAAACAATTGTATACATTTCTAAAACTCAGCTTAGAATTATAAAATGTTATCAGCATTTATATGATTGGCTGTTGCTTTGGTCCGAGCCAATCACATACCTGTTTGTCTTGATTGACAAAGGTTTCTCTGATGCAACGTGGCATTATAAAATAAAACTATATTGTAAAATAAAAACAGACTTTGAAAATAAAGCTGCTGGAATTAAAGGTCTAGTGCTCGCTTCACCCTCACCTTCCAAACGTACAAAGGAGAAACTACGTCTGTGTTTGGTTTGTCCGTTCTGGGCTACTGTAGAAACGTGGCGGTGCAACATGGCGGACTCTATAGACCTGCGGTATCTATAGATAAAAGCTACTAATTCTAAGGTAACAAAAACATAACAATTCTTATTTTATATATATTTTATATACTAAAACATACCTATGAATGTTATATTCCATTTCTGTCATTAGATCCTCCTAAATGTCATACACTGGACCTTTAAATAGAAATGTGCAACACTTGAAGAACATAAAAGAGGCAGAAGGCTGTTTTTGTCCTAGACCTTTTTATTGTACTGTTTGAGCTTCAACTTTATTTCTGTGCAAAAATCAAATCTTTGGAAGCTCCTTCTCATTTTTTACTGTATAACATACAGGAGAGGAGAAGTGCTTCCATACTTCATCCACCATTGAAAGCTAGCCAACAGTTCCCAAAAGTAGAAAGGAAAATGAATTGCTGAATTGAATTGTTGAATTGCTGTGCTTACTAACAGGTCATTTGTATTGCACACTTATGAATTAATACAAAGCATTTATAATAATATATACTCTAGCTGCTGTATTTAAGTATCAAGCCGAAATCTGTAGGGAGAAATAAACCAATAGCTTTGGTTGTGTTGAGCAGCTTCTCTTTTCTTTGATGCCATCATGGATATTAAGACATCATTGGCTGCATGCCTTCCTGTAGGACTCCACTAGTCAAAGGCAGAATTATTTCAATGCTGTCTGGGGAAAACATCTTACAATCACTTCTCTGCAGTCTTCCCTTGAGCCATTGTTAGATTTTGATAAGGACAGAGCCATGGTGTAAGCAGGATGTCATTAAGCTTCTCTGTTTGAGTGTAACATGTTTTGAAATTGAATAATTTTCACAGGCTGAAATAAACAAAGCAATTGACCAGATTTCACCCCATGGACAGAGAACACACAATAAGAGGTTGACAGAAACAGTTGATGGTAAAGATGGAATGGAAATGCCAGTTCTGCAATCTCTAAATAGCTAATCTTATCCATCAAACACCACGGAAACAAACAAAACCTGTTCCTGTGGCATTACGTTGGATCCTGCTTGTGATCCTGCTTTTCCTAAGCCATCTACTTACACACATAACATAATTAACATCAGATACCTTTCACTCCTTTCTTATCACACATGGGACAGATTCTCTCCAGAAAACACAACAATTTTGTTTTTTTATCATGACTTAAATATATGTTAACAATATGGCCAGCAGATCAGAAAACACTCAGCCTTGTTGCGTCATTCAGATACTTCAACTTTGCTAAAAAGGCAGAGCGGATGTTCTCAAAATCTCCAGCTGCTGTCTCAGTATGAGCTACTACACAGTGGGTTATGTGCTTTAAAGTAAACTATCTCATTATGTGAGGTGGGGAATGTTTATTAAAACTACCAGATGTGCAAATCATTCTGTCAAGTGCAGAAAAGCTTTCAAAATGTGTACAATCTGTGTCTCCTCTTTTGAGCACAATCTAGCATATAATAGGCCTACTTATGTAATGGAATTTCAAAGTGCAAGGAGACATTCTACACGTATAAGGTTTCCAAAAGTCAAGTCACTTTAATTTTCTTCTTTTATTTGCTTCTGGGCTTGAATGGTCATGGAACTCCCCTGGCTGAATCATCACTGCAAAAGATGAGCTACAGTGTTAGAAAATATGGGCAGTGAAAAGGTTGTGGACAGAAAACCATGACAAGAAAATTCAACTGTGAATGTCAAAGAGCATTTTGGTAAGAAATGTCCTGTTAACTACCATAATACTCTGTTATTTAAACCGACAGCGAGCCAAAGCTTCAACTAGAAATCAATTCATACTTTCATTAAATCAATTCACTATCGAATTAAGGGTACATTTAGGGTCAGATTCAGCAGCTATAGTGCTGCATTTTGTTCCCAATAACAACAATGAAGATTTAAACTGAGTTTAAATAACTTTAGGCTAACTGGGGCCCAACTAGCTTAGCAGTGCCAGACTCATTTATAAATGAAAATTGTCCTGGATCCGCTCCGGTAATTTTCAATTTCCAAGGGGTGTTATCAATGGGTGCAGACCAAAATGCCTCTGGGCACAATCGGATGGACCTTCAACCAATCATCTGTCAGTCTTCTTATTAAACCCTTCCCATATTAAAAAAACGGTTGTGATTGGGTCGACCAGATGCAGGACAGGTGCAGTTCAATTTGAATGGAAGAGTGGTCGGACCAGTGTTTCCAACTTGGCGACTTTCTTGCAAGATTTAGCAACTTTTCAGACCCCCCCCCTTTTATTGCTAGCGACTAGAAATAGCGAAAATGGAAAAAAAAAGTCATTAGACTTAGTCAAACCACCAGGGGGAAGGCAGGAAATATATTGAAATATTGTGTAATTCCTCCCCATGCATGCTCTTCTGCCAACAGCAACAAGGTCTCTATCTTGACCACATTGTGCTCTGTTTCTCATTTGCTTGTGAGGGATGATAACTTTAGCTTTCACTGCGAGCTTGAGGCTCAAACTAGCTTTAAAATGTTTGCATTAATTCACACACATCTTCTAAACTTAATCGCGGTGATAAAGGCTCCTCCAATGAGTTTCTCTCTGTACTGAAACCTTTTAAAGTAGAGTGTATTCTGTGGTGTGTCATTCTGGTTTCTGGATTTTAGGTATTTATTAGGGATTATCAATATTTACTCTTATTTTGGGGCTATTAGACCTCCTGTCTTGAGCACTGTATCATCTAAATTTTTTTTTAAAATTCTAGATAGTCATTCTTCCATAACGAATATGTGCTTTCTGAAGTATGGTGTTATTAATACACTTCGTAACAACACATGATATACACCCTGGCTGTTATCCTTTCTGATTTTGCAACTGAATGGTCCTAATTAATTTTGTGGACTTCTTCTGGTTATTTCTTGTCATTTTCAATTGTATGTCCTGCTGGTTGCTTAGAGCTGCACCAAAGCAATAAAGCGTTGCAACTGACCTTATTAAGTTATAGACAGATATTGTTACTGTCTTCAGTAACAACAGATAACTTCAGTTCAGTTACTTCAGTTACAAAAGAAAAAGAAAAACTAAAATCAAGGGTTATTGAATATAGTTTTAGCAGTCTGGTTTAGGTTATCAATGGTTAATGTTAATATTGGGTGGTTTTGGAGTCCAGATTTGTGTGCAATCTGCAGGCCTTAAAATAATCCCAAATTGCTCTATGCTGCAGCTTTTGGTGAGAGTGCATAACGATCAAACGGGCCATCAAATGAACTAATCCGGATATTTAAAAACTCTCATGAGAATTTTCTCATCTAGAATAAGACAGATGGACTGAGTGCACTGTTTAGAGATTCACCCAAAACTCTAAATGCAAGAGGAACACAAGTAGATTTTGAGAACTTTACCCCCCAATTCCCAGAGTGAATTACACCCTAGGGAAAGCATAACGCACGAAGAGTCAATTATGTTTGTCTGAGGCAGCACCGAGTGTTGCTGTTTTCCCCCCGGATGCCACAGAGCAAGGTAAATTCAGGGTTTATTCTTTGCTTTTCAATTCAAAATTTCCTTAAATTTTTTTTTAAATTTGACTTCAATATCATTTTGTTTGTTGTTGGTGTTTATTGTAAGTTCAGTTTGGTTGCTTTTCTGTTTATTTTTTCTCCAGTTTTTGTATTTGTGGTTATATACATATGGAGCGAAGGCTGCAAGCTAGTTCAGGCAGTCAACTCGAGCTGCGTGGATATACACACATGACATGCCTCACTCCATAATGACATGTCTCAAACCAAGTGCTCCCTTCCAATCTG